GTCTTCCGCACTGGGACCAGGAGCAGCTCGCTTCTCAGGGTCTCTCTGGTCCCCCCCAAGGAGGCAGCAGGTGCCGGTTGCTGGCACCCGCGCCCCTGTGTGCTGCTGGTTCACTGTGATGATGCTGGGGAGGCAGCGGGGCTGCATCGCGCTGGCCCTTGAGTGCCAGCTCCGGCCACGCTGTCTCAGGCAGGGGATGCCCCACACCCCGGAGCAGGAGAATGGAGAAAGCCCTCTCTTTCCTCAGGAACGTGTTCATGTTTTCCCTCTGGGCTGAAGAGCTATGCCCAAGCCCCTCCGGAGCTGGCCCTTCCTCTAGCGAAAGTGTTGTGCAATAGCAGGGCTCCATCCGTAGGTGATGGGGTCTGACAGGGTATGTGTTTAGCAACCCTCCCCCCGGGTTATTCCCCATCCCCAACCAGCCAATCCTCCCCAGCGCGCATGCACGCACCCTCGTGTTTTAATTTCTGTCCCACGTGTAAATACAGGAGGAGCGTGGTGCCACGAGCCGGCTGCTCCGCGCATCACTGCCCGCACACCTGCCCGCCCGCACCCAGCAGGAGGAGCTGGCAGATGCCACAGCATCTGATGGAGTCACTTTGGTTTTATTTCTCTACCCAGACAAAATTAGGAGGTTGGTTTCCTCACCCTTGTTATTTTTTCAAGGTCTTTCTAGGACCTGGAAATAAATTATTTCCTTGTCGTCTAGCCTGAGTCTTACTTGCTTATTTTGTCTTGGTTTGTTTCCTCGTGTTGTGCTGTCAACATGGTCCCATCAGCGCCTTCCCAGAGGGACTGGGCTCGCTGCCCTGCCGGCAGGATGGGCTGCAGCACAGCCCAGCGCGGCATGTTCCCTGCCATGAGCCGGCAGCCGAACCGCCTGCCTCCCGCAGCACATTGCCACTGGCAGGACACTGCTTCTCTGGCTTCTTCCTGTGTTTCACTGAAATGCTCATCAGAAAAAGCTTCTTTAAGAGAAGGGTCAGGTTTTTTGTCCGCATTTTGAAGAAAACTATGACAAAAACGCCCTTGGCTTTCTCCGTCTCTTTGGGAGAAAGTCGGGTTGTGCTTTGAGTGGCACGAGGTGCTGGGTGCGTGCTCCAGGCTGGCTGGTGCCTACCTGCCATGTCAGCTCCCAGCAGGAGCTGCCCCAGCACAGGGTTCCGGGGTCTGAGCCACCACAGACAGGCGCAGGCTCCTCAGCACTAGTCCTAGAAGCAGTGCTCCTGTGGGAGAGCGACAGAAGCTCGTCCTGCGAGGGGTCGTCATTCCTTCATCCTGCAGAACAACGGCAGAAAGAACAAGAGGCAAACTGCACACCAAGCGGCAAAAGAAGGTCTGATGGTGCGTCCTCATGATCTTCCTTTCCCAGCCAACAGAGTTCCTTAATGTTCTTTTAAAAGTGCATCTTTAGTGTTGTTCTCTTGAAGTCACAGACAGCCTCATAGCTGACCAGCCGATCACTCACAAGCACAGATCTCGGTCATGTACTTCTTCCCCACTTCAGTACAGCTGGGCATTGTCAATGGGCTTTGTTACCATCACCCATTCTCATGTTAGTAATGGTGTGTATTATGGCAGCTTTCAGTTACTGGCTGCAGCAAAAAAGTCTCCTTCGTACTCAGTTTTAGTACTGAAATGATGCACATAAATGACACTCTAGCCTGACCACAAATAAATCAGTTGCTAGCGGTTTTCTTGATGGCAAGGGACTGGGGCACGATCAACGTGCTAATGGCAAACAAGCATGAACCTCCCTGGGGCCAGGAAGCCTCGTCAAGGCACGCAGCTGACAGCGCTCCAGCACCCGTCGGTGGTGATGGCACGCTGCAGAGGGCTGGATGCGGCACACAGCAGCGGGGCAGCACAGAGAGAGGGGGACATGTGATAAGCACTGCGGTGGCATCAGTGTAGGTCAGCAGGCAGCACAGGCAGAATTTAAACCTCTCCATAAAGTGACAGTCATTTAAACAGCATCTTGCAGTCCTCGCTCCGAAACAGGCTTATTGATCCCTGAGGTCTTTAAGTGTTTCTGTATCCTTCACCATCCCCGTGGCTCCGCTCCCATCCCGCTCCCTTGATTATTCACTAAATGTTATGGAAGATGCATCTGGTGACTTTTGACAACAGCAGTTAGTGGGATGCTGTAACAGAAGGGAGGAGTCTTGAGGCCAGAGGGTTTTTCAGCCACACAAGGTGTGCTGCCAGACCTCATTCTATGCATTATTTTGTTTTTCACAATTGCAGCAAGTGCCTCTATAGCTGCCAGCCTTGAGGAGGCCTTTTTGTGAGCACCGTCGTTAATTGTCCACACACAGCAAGTGTGTCAGCAGCGCACTCACAGCTGTATGCTCCGGCAGTTCTGGGCACACTGACCACCTGCTGTTTGCAGAGAGCTACTGATGGTTGCTGCGTGTTTGCACCCCAGGTTTTCAGCCCAGGTCCTTAGAAACAAGAGCTCTCCTGTTCTAGCCAGCACAGAGATGTGCTGTCTTTGCATCCTGCTGTCCACCTTCAGGCACCCAAGCAAGCAGGCTAGCTGTCTTGGGACTCTGGGGATCGGGTGGACTGGATTGTCCTAGGAAATCCTCACTGCCAGAGGAAGCGCCTGCAGCTAGTGTGCTCCTAACAAAGGAGGTACCAACTGCCTGGCGTCGCAGGTGATGAGCCTGGGCCATGCAGAAGGATTTGCTTCTTGATATTGTGGAGGAATGGAGAGACCTCAAAGCAACAAATTGCCAGCCAGAACCAGACCCTTAACTGCAAAAGAGGAAGATTATTGAGAGCTCTGATTGCAGAAGCATCTGTGAAGAAGATGTTTTAAGAGCTCCGTGCTCCCTCAACACAGCCCCTTTTGAGGAAATTTTTCTATAGCAACTTCTCTCTTCAGCAGTTGCAGAGCAGCCTCTGGCTCTTGCAGGGCAGGGCAAGGACATGTTGATGATGCTTTTGCAGGAGAGGAAGCCAGTCCTGCTCTGCAGACTGGTGTCCAGTGATGGGACTGTCTCAGATCCAGGGTCTGGGCTGGCTGGCTGGCCAAACCCAGGGGCTGCTCTGCTGGCGAGTGCAGAGTGAAGATTTTCTTCCAGGTCAAGTTTTCTCACATCAGAGGCAGCCCTGGGGTGTGCAGCAGGCAGCACCACGGGCCAAG